GAACTGCAACAATTACAAGAATAGCCCTGCATAGGCCTAGAGCTTCTCAAGCTATTTCTCAGTATATGCGGTTTTAAATAGTTTCCCAGTTTTCATATTAATTCTGCATAGGAGCACTTCCTTTGATTGCAGGTAATGGGATCTTCCACAAGGGTGGGTTTTTGGATCATCTGCTATAGTGATTCTTGTGGAAGTAAAGCTCCTCTGTACTCCACTATCTAGGGGTGGTACAAACTCAATATAAAAACAGGACAAATACAAGCTCCTTCTGTTTGATTGGTCAATCTGGTCAGCATGAATAAAATTTAGGCAGGAACAAAAGGAAGGGATAGGAATCAGTGTTATAAAAGAGCAAGTGGATTCTAGTTTCTGGAATTATATCTAGTTGGACTTTCACTGCCTGGTTGGATATTTTTGTTCTTAGTCACTAGGGAGTTGGGGATCCTAATGTTCTTAGCCATCATTTTGATGAGCAAAGGTAAAATGTACTGTGCACCCTGGAATGGGACTTAGACCTATGTTACTGCAAATGGAGATATATTCATGGAAGAGGGTCAGTGCTCTAAGAACTCATACCTAGCTCATCACCCAGAAAGTAAACAAGGAGTGCTGCAATATTCACTTTCTAAATGTGTAAATTTCATGAAGGTACTGTACATTTTTAGTTGGAAGATATGAATGAAGGCCTTGTATACTGGATCAAACTTCCAACAGCTCCCATTCAGAATCAAGGCCTACTTCTGATGCATTGATGATGTACTTGGTGTGGGCATTTTAGTCTTTTATTTGTAGCTTCAGGAGTCAGGAGTCAGGAGAGTTAGTGATATCAAGAGGCGATTTCGCCCATTTCGATATCACGTGTCGAGGTCGAGCGTTCCTTAATTTTAGGGTAGGCCTAACCCTCTTAAAGCTAAATATTTTTGTATTTTTTTTTTTACTATCCTAGTTGCTTACTGTCTAGTACCTACGTCAACATTGCCCCCCATCTTTTTGCCTGTCCATGAAATCATCCAGTTTCTTCTTAAAGATAGTCACAGCGCGGGGCAACCACTACTTCGTCATCTAACGCATTCCACGCGTTCAATAATTTTAGGGTAGGCCTAACCCTCTTAAAGCTAAATATTTTTGTATTTTTCTTTGTTTGTTTGTTTGTTTTTTGTTTGTTTGACAATCCTAGTTGCTTACTGTCTAGTACCTAGCGTCAACATTGCCCCCCACCTTTTTGCCTGTTCATGAAAGAATCTAGTTTCTTCTTAAAGATAGTCACAGACGGGGCAGCCACTACTTCGTCATCTAACGCATTCGACGCGTTCACCACTCTGCAAGTAAAAAATTCCTGTCTCGACCTGAGCCGCACCTGCGGTTTGCGCAACTTAAGTCGGTTACCTCTCGTTCTCTTGCTGTCATCAAACTGAAAAAACCTACCACACTCGACATTATCTATTCCTTTAATTACCTTGAAAGCCTGGATCGCCCCTCCAGCCAGACAAACCAGAATGTAGTA